TCATCCAGGGGATGCTGGGAGGGGTAGTACCTAATGGAAATAGCTCATAGACTACAGAGTAGGGTAAGCTTGGAGCAGTGTATGGGATCCAGCTGGACTGAAAGTCTGTTCAGGCGTGAGGGCTTGGAAATGTCCATCAGCTTGGTGAACATGTCTCTTCTGCAACACCTAAGCTTCTTTTCCCTTTATGACTGTTGCAGGGTCACCTGGTGCCAGGGGAGATCACGGTGAACAAGGTTTTCCTGGCCCAGTGGGTATGAAAGGTCTATCTGGTGATAAAGGTGAACCAGGTATCCCAGGAATACAAGGTATACCTGGTAAGACTGGTCTCCCTGGCATAGATGGAATGCATGGCCTTCAAGGATATAAAGGTAAGGTTTTAAAATATTGTATTTTCCCGCATACAACACACACCTTTTTCCCCAAAATCAACCCTGCAAAACTAGAGTGCATGTTTTAAGTGGAAAAGCTATTTTCTTCTCTAGAAAAGAAGAAAGCCTGAAGACACTATGCATGCCATGCAGCTGTCAAAATAGATGCTAAGATTACAGAGTCCTGTGTTAACCCTCTCACAGCCATAGCTGTTGACTGAACTGCTGGTAGTATCTTGATGACATTTGTGATGTGGAAGCAATGCTTCATTTACAGGAAGAACTACATATAGTAAAGAACTACATACAGTCTTGCTACTGCCCATGGAAGGACCGTGGCTTAACCTTATGTGACATAGAGTAAATTGTCCCGGGAACATAAAGTGATCAGGAAGTGTGGCATCCAGGAGACAGTCAGCACAAGGCATTTGGATACTGTGTACCCAGAAGGGCTTACTCTATCTCACATGGTTAGCCATGACTCTGGAAAAATGTTTTTTTCTATATTCTGCCTTCCAAAAACAAGGTGCATAGATTATTCAGGGGCATTTCATGTGTGAGAAAATATAGTAATAGGAGTATTAAGCAAGATAAAATTTGTTTGTCATTGCCTACATTAAGCATGGGGGACCAAACTCTCTGCTGATGCAACTCCGTTTATGTCATAGTTTCATAGTTTCTAGGGTCGGAAGGGACCTGAACAGATCATCAAGTCCAACTCCCTGCCCTAGGCAGGAACAAGTGCTGGGGTCATAACAGCCCAGCCAGATATCTATCCAGCCTCCTCTTAAAGACCCCCAAGGTACAGGAGAGCACCACCTCCCTTGGGAGCCCATTCCAGAGCCTGGCAGCCCTAACCATAAAGTAATACCTCCTGATACCTAGCCTGAACCTGCTCTCAGTCAACTTGTGGCCATTACTCCTTGTTATCCCAAGAGGTGCCCGGGGGAATAGAGCCTCACCTATTTCCCAATGGTCACCCCTGGTGAGTATATAGACAGCCACCAGTTCCCCTCTCAGTCTTCTCTTGTGGAGGCTGAATACATTCAGGCCCTTTCGTCTATCTTCATAGGGCCTGGCCTGCTGCCCCCTGACCATGCATGTGGCCCTCCTCTGGACCCTCTCAAGGTTAGCTCTTGAAGTGCGGCACCCAGAACTGGACACAGTACTCCAACTGTGGCCTGACCAGCGCCGCATAGAGGGGAAGGATCACCTCCCTGGACCTGCTTGTGATGTCTCAGTAGATGCATGACAAGGTGCGGTTAGCCTTACTGACTGCTTCCTCACATTGGTGGCTCATGTCCATCCTGGAGTCAACAATGACTCCAAGATCCCTTTCAGCCACTGTGTTGTTGAGAAGGGTGTTCCCCAGCCTATAGGTGTGTTGCAGGTTCCTTCTCCCTAGATGCAACACCTTGCACTTGTCTGCACTGAATTCCATCCTATTCTCATCTGCCCACCTCTGTAACCTGTCTAGATCTAGCTGGATTCTGTCCCTCCCCTCCAGTGTGCCCACTTCTCCCCACATCTTTGTGTCATCAGCAAATTTGGACAGCATGCTTTCCACGCCCACCATCAAGTTGCTGATAAAGATGTTAAATAGCACAGGCCCGAGGACCAAGCCCTGGGGAACTCCACTGCCCACATCCCTCCAGGTCATAAATGACCCATCCACCACCACTCTCTGGGCGTAACCATCGAGCCAATTTGCCACCCATCTGACTATGTAGGCATCAGTGCTACAGTCACCTAGGTTTTTTTATGAGAATGGGGTGAGAAACAGTGTCAAAGTCCTTCTTGAAATCCAAGTAGATATCATCCACCTCAGCGCCCCCATCCAAGGACTTTGTGACCTGGTCGTCAAAGGAAACAAGGTTAGTCAGGCAGGATCTGCCTGCAGTGAACCCATGTTGGTTGCCCCTGAGCATTACCTCCCATGCTGGGCCCCCGCAGATATGTTCCTTGATAATTTTCTCAAAGGTCTTCCCAAGGACTGAGGTGAGACTGACTGGCCTATAGTTAGCCGGGTCCTCCTTTCTCCTCTTCTTGTAAATAGGGACCACATTGGCCCTTTTCCAGTCCTCTGGGACCTGGCCTGAGCACCACAAACACTCATACAGTCATGCCAGGGGCCCTGCTGTGACCTCCGCCAATTCCCTCAGTATCCTTGGATGAAGTGCATCTGGCCCTGCTGATTTAAACACGTCCAGCCCCCCCAAGAGTTCCCTAACTAGATCGTCCCTGACCATAGGGATGGCATCGTGTCCCCTGAGCCTGTTTGTAATTCTAGTGGGAGAGTTGTCTCAGTCCCTGCTCAGAAATATGTCAGTGGAGTTACTTAGCCTGATATCTTTTATAATTGTTCTCCACTGGTAGTCTTTGGCCATTAAACCTTGATTCCAGAAACTTTTTAAAGAGCAATAATGAGTATATGGTATTTTTCCTTTTGAAAAATGTATACCGGTTCATTACTTCTGTCCACCAGCCCAGTGGTTTTTTTTCTGCTTTTCTCCAAAAAAATTCTTATTATTCTTTCACCTTTATCAGAAGGTATTAAATTCCTCCCATAGAAACCTAATTAATTGGTCTACCACTTGGCCACCTGGGTCCAGATGTTGTCAATATTAGGCTTAACTGAATTTAAATATTGCCATTGTCACAGTACCCTTGTCATTTATCATCTTAATTTTATTCCACTTTTCCTGTAGCATTCTCCTTTTCATACTGAGTCTACTTTTGGAGCATATTCCTTACAGTTTTGTTTCTTTATGAGTTAAAACACATCAATTTTTAGTCTTTTCTCTCTTTTCAGTATTCTTTAGGGTTTAATTCTCAGCTTTGCTGCCAGAAGGCTCTGATTACTGTTCCAGTACACTTAAAAGAATGGTCTGCATTGCAAAATCTTTTTGAAATTAGACTATAACATTTGATTTCTTGTAGTACATCCTCATTTGTCCTTCGGACTTTACCATGTATATTGATGTTAAAACCACATTTTTTATATTTAGTGGCAATCTAGGAGCTTTAGGATATTTTACAGTGAGGTGCCTGCTTCTATGACTGAATGCCACTGAGCTTTAAGGCTAGGGACAGACATTCAAAAAGCCTGAGCCTGAAGTGATTCTATCTTTGCAGGTTAGTCTAAGCTGCACACCTTAAACTGATTAATACCTTGACAGGAATGCTCTGTTAAACCAGGGCATGGCCAGGCACAAGCCCAAGATAGCAGGTAGGGGATGGGGAAAACATCCTTTCTTGGAAGCAAGTATGTATTGAACACAGCAATTTGCAAAGTGTACAACAAGGAACTACCAAAAATCTTTGCCTAAACTAAGATACAGCCCAGTAAAACACAGCATACACAGCTTAGTCTAACTTAAAATGTAAACCAGAAAGACAAGAATTAGTTTTACTAATCCTGAGGGCAGAGTGTCTTCTTACAGTCAGACAAGGTTCTTTGGGTGAATCAGATATCTTTTATATCTTCTTACAGTCAGGGGTGTACTTGGTAGCTGTGTTAGTCTGAGACAAGAAGACAGACAAAAAACTAGAACTCTTGGTTATTAGACCAACTGAGAAATTGCAAGAAAATTGTCCTTTTCTACAAATTGTCCTTATAGTCAGGCATTCAGAAAGGCTTTACAATGTAAATGTAACTCTCTGCATACTTTGTGAAGCTGTTTGCAACTTCTCTTAAGTCTTAATCAGCATGTGTGATGATTGTCAGGTCTTTGCCAACACTTGCCACCTTCACAGTAATTTCCCCCTATCCGGGCTCAGGGACAAGCAGCAGAGACTGAAGCCAAAGCCCCGGGGGGTTCAGGGGGGTAGAGGGAACAGAGTGAGCAATTAACTCCATCCCTGCCTGTTCGCAGGCAAGCCATGCAGGTTCAGCTGGGGCTGGCAAACGGCAGCTGTGGTCCCCAGGGTTTGCCAGCAGGGGAGTGGAAGGGAGAAATTTGCCTTAGGGGCCATGGCGGCCGTGTCTGGCCACACCCTGCCCCTGCTCTGGCTAGAGAGCAGCGGGCAGGGGCCAGCCCTGCTGTGGAGCAGAGAGTCCTGCCTGGCCCAGAGAGCATGCCAGGATGCTGGGGGTGTCTGGTTCATCTTAAACCAGCAAGGGGTCTGGGACAGACCTTGTATAACCTGGTTTGACCCAAATCAGTTAAGTCTGATTATCTCAAACTGGTTTCAGCCATTTTCAAACTGGTTTATGTGCACTGAACATCTGTTCTGTTACAGGTTTAAACAAGTTTTTGATCGCTTAAACCAGTGTATGTGTAATGTCTGTCCCTAGCCTAAGGGTTTGTCTGCCTCCCCCAGAACTACACCTGGCAGGACAACCATGTGTTGCCATATTTAGTAATGACTACAGGTTTATTAAATGGTAAGGTGTCACCGGGTCACAGTCCCTTCTGTGAGTACTTGCTGTATTATAGAAGAGAAGCAGGGCCATCTGCTGCTCCACCACCACTCCCAGTTCTGCCCCCAAATCATCTGCAGTTACTTATTTGGCAGGTTTTCTTGCTTATAATTACAGCTAACCTAACCTTCACATCTGAGGCTATTATACTATATACACAGCCCATGGACCAACTATCCATTGTATTGTCACCCAGAACTGGGATTTAAGTTCATAAACTCATGTCAGCTACTCGATTACATCTCAGAGAATAGCCTGTGCCATTGTGATGCTCACCTAGGATGTGAAAGATCTAGGTTTAAAGCATTTGCTTCTAGGCAAATCAAAGGGGATTTGAAAACAGGTCTCCCAAATAAGGGCCCTAATGCCTGAGGTATAAGGAATAATAAAAGGTGAGGAGGTTTGCTCCTTACTCTAGCAGTGGGCACAAGAATGAGAACCTTGAGCAGAAGTAAGTGCACATTTACCTTTTGAGGAACAGTGTGTGCACCCAGGCCCAGCCATCTCCTCAGCATATTCTGCAGGTTAGCTTAAGCTATTCCCTACTCAGTTTGTTGGCTTCTGAAAGGCCTATCTTTAGGTACATGGCTCTCCCTATGCACTGTATAAAAGTGAATCTGGACATCATTTTTAGGATTCCACTTGGCAGCTTGCGCATCCAACAAATAAACCCACCCAAACCCCTGTGCAGATTTACCCCCATGTCTCCAGTTTGCAGGTACTCAGCATGGAGAAAAGATCAAGTCGGTTTTGGATTAGTTTAACATTTCTCTTACTTTTTTCTTTGAAAGGTGCTAAGGGTTCCCCTGGCATTGAAGGTTTCAAAGGCATGACAGGCAACCGAGGATTTCAAGGACATAAAGGATTCAAAGGAGAAACAGGCTTTTTTGGCATTTATGGTCCAAAAGGTGAACAGGGTATACCAGGCTCCAAAGGTATTGACTCAAGTGTTTATTTCTTATAGTATTGTCACTGTTTCTTATGTGAGGTGTAATTGCAGTACAAGTAAAATACATTTTTGAGACAGTGAACCTTGCTCAGAAATTCTACCATTCCTTCCCAGAAAGAGCCCTTTGAAAGGCCAAGATTTATCTCTTGGGATTAAACAAATTATGAGTTAAACTTGATCTTCAATAAATGGCTGTAAATACAGACTGTTTCAGGGAGCCAGCTCTCCCCAGGGTTATAAAGACCAAATCCTACTTTCATAGCTTCAAGCTGAGAAAAGAAACCAACCAAGCTTCTTAGTTTCTATCTGTCACAGACAGTTAATTATGAGCTATTACATCAGATACTTGCATATCCTAGAAGGTAATGCATCCTGACATATGAAGATCAGTATTATCACATCTTGGGTTATGTGGTGATTCTTAAATAATCTCACAGTGAACTGATGCCTAGCATTGTTTTATTTTTTAAAGCTATGTGGGATAAATATATTACTGTATTATACTAGTAAATGCCTTATTTTCTTAGTCTTGTGTACAAATTAAAGTGACCAAAAGGGAGAGAACATTTCCAAAGGTTAAATGTTATTTTTCTTGACTTTTCCATCCAAATGAGAGCACAAATATCTGTGGTGGCTCTGGACATTAACACCTGTGTCTGTTTAGTCCTTTTTATGTTTTGATGTGGCAAAGCTGACTGTCCTATTAATCTTAGGTGACCGTGGGGAACAAGGAGAACCAGGAGAGCCACCAAAAATAGAGGCCAAAATGCTTAAGGAAGTTAAAGGTGAAAAAGGAGATAGTGGACAAACTGGCATAGCAGGGGATCCTGGCTTTAAAGGTAAGAAGTAAAATAATCAGAAATGTTCATGAGGGTTTATTAGTTACTAAATATTGTGCAGCTATTCAGAAGCCTTTCCATTATTATTAGGGCCTGGTTTAAATAGCAATTTTGCATTTTTCATGAAAACCATGACATTAAGTAATTTTCACGAAAAATGTGATTTGCAACAACATGCCATGATATGCCCACTTGCTGGGTAGCCCCAGCAAGTGGCCATATTGTGGCATTTTGTTGCAACAAGGTGTCTGCTACAAGGTGGGGAAAACATTCCCCAGCCAGCAGCAAAAGCCTAGCACAGGGAAGGGAGGAAAGGGTCACAAAAAGGGACAGGGAGGAGGAGAGAGCTTAGGGATGGGTACAGGAGGGGATGTTTGCTCCTCCAGGCGGGAAAACTGGGGTGTAGGAGGTTGAGGGCACCTGGGCCTTGGCAGATGGCCCTAGCACCAGATAGGGGAGGGGCTGTTTGCTTCTCCAAGTGGAAAAACTGGGGTCCTGTGGGTTGAGAGCAGAGGGAGAGAACACACGTGCAAAGGAGCAAATAGCCCTTCCCCTACCCAGTGCCGGGGCTGCAGCCTGGCTTCCCAGATGGGCGTTGCGATGGGGCTGGCCCAGCCTAGGAGCACATGGCCAAGGATTGGGTTTAGTTGCAGGCAGAAGTCTTGCTCACAAGGCCTTTGATCGCTGCTGAAAAGTTCATGGCTCCCTGCCCTGCCTCACTGGAAGAGGCAGGAACAGCAGTACAGCCATTTGCCCCGCATTGTTTCTGGCAGGCAGGGAGGGAATTTCCTTTTCAAAAATGCCTCTCCTGCTGCAGTTAAACCTGGCCCTAAACCTGCCCTGGCCCTAAATCAGAATGGGGCATGTGGGGAGCACCATAATCTGGGCATGAAAATGGTGGCCCCCACCACAGTATTAGCGAACCAGGCTGTCACTGAGCACTTAGGTGCCCTGCTCCTTTTAAAGAGGAGAAACTGCTAGGGAAGAGCCCTAGCAGTGAGTGAGGAGCCCCAGCTGCTGGTTGCCAGGGCAACCAGAGTTAGCTGGTGACCCACACCTGCCAGCAGTCAGCTGACCGCAAGGGGCAGGGCCTGGCTCACATTTAAACCCCAGGGCTGAGGCTAGGCCGGCAGTTCCCTGCTGGCAGCCAAGGGAGAAGGAGCTCTGTCAGAGCAAGCAAAGGGGAGAAGCCTGACTGCATGAGCAGCTCCTGATTGCTGTTATGGGATGGAGAATTCCTTGGTACGGATTGAATGATGTTTTGGCTGGGCGGCTTAGATTTTATGTTATAGCCCAGGGGCTTATGTGGTCGGTCGGTCGGTCGGTTGTTTGTTTGTTCTCACTGGTGGCTTGGGTGAGGCTATTAGGGGTTGGAGGAGGCCTCATAGGGGACCCACAGCAGTGTGGAGACCCCAGCCCCAGAGAGGGGGGCAGCACTGATGAGTACCCAGTCAGGTGCAGAGCAAGACAGGGCTATGGAGAGCCCGAGCACCAGAGAAGGCGTGGAGCAAGATGGGGCTACGGAGAGCCCAGGGAGGACAAGGGGGCCAGAATAGAATAAGGCCCAGACCAAACAATGCAAGTACCAACTGCGAGGCTTGGGCTGCAGTGTAGGGAAGGAAAGGAGCTGCAGATAGCACCCCCTTGCATCAGGGCAGTAAATGGGCAGCCTCCTGCTTAATTAACATGTTGTTAATTGATTAATTAGACAAAGGCATGCCAGGTGAGGGCAGGCAGTTGGCCCATAACAGGTGGGCTGGGTCACCAGTAGACAGACCCTGAAGAGGTGCACCTGTCACACAGGCCCACAACTTAAACCGGGCCCTAGTTCTACACAAGTTGAATATATTATACCACCAGACTACAGCATCACATAATGGCTATCATAGCAAAAAAAAAAACCCCTATGGGCTTGATTCTACCTCTATCTCAGGTGCTACAATGGTAGTTTGGGAGACTGAAATTAGATCCAAATACAATGCAGGTGTCTCCATTTAGATGTTAAGCACCTATTGTTTCGGGCTCCAGAGTACCTCCAGATAGGACATCCAACTGTATCATTTTAGTGAATTCTCTCAACATGAGTCTTGAACACATGGGGTAGAATTTTATATCTCTTTGCTCTCTAAATGTTAGTTTTCTAGCTTTTTACCTGGGTATTTGGGACCCTCCCTCTGCACTATGGATATGTGAGCATTCATGGATAGACTGAGCCAGTCCATAGACTGCGTGTCTGGCATAAGTTGGGGGAGAAGGACTGAGGGTTCATCCATGTTTTAAACCCAACAGCTCAATTGTAGGGTATGCTGTCAGAAATCTGGAGACCCAGGGTCTAGGCCTCCCCATACCCAATCCAAGGAAGCTTGAATCTGTAGCTCTCTGACTTCAGCACAGTGTTCTTTCACACCACTGGTTAGGTCAGTGCTTCTCAACCAGGCTCTGCAATACCCTGGGCTGTCTTAAGATCCTTTCAAGAGTACCACAGGATGCCATACAGAATTAACACTGTTAGGTATGCAAACATGAATCAGAAGATAAACCCAATGGGTGTGTCCAGATGAGCGCAGCCCCATCTCCAGTGCCACACATGCAGGCATTCCCTGTGCTGCTACTTTGCAGCATGTGGTGAGGGGGAGGAAGTGCGGCAGTTTTGACCCTGGGAGATCCTGAGGTCAAAAAAAAAAAAAACCCCACAGCTAAAAAAAAAGCAGGGTGATGCACATGGCAGCAGCTTGCACCACCCAACCTGGAGCCTGGACAGCCAGAGCCACATCCGGCTGTTGGTCAGGCTCGCTGCTGCAGGAGTGTAATGGCTGCAGCTCCCAGAGGCCCACAGGTCCTCAAGTAATGCTGCTCAGGCCAGAACAGGGTGTGCCACTGCTACGTGTCCCTGGGAAAACGCACATTCCTGCTTGTGGGGTCACTCCCAGTGATTTCAAATAAGAATCCATAATGTTAAAAACATTCTGAGCCGTTGTGGTCTTTCTGAGTTCTTTAAAACAGAAGAACTGCTGTATTATTTTCCAGTTGTCAAAAATTAGTGATGGCTAAGAACCAGTATTTTCTGAGGGATGCCTTAAGGCTAAGGTGGAGTGCTTTGACTCTAGGAAGGTTGAAAACCACTGAGTTAGGCATTATCCAGTTCTTTCTCCAGTGCTTCTTCTGGAGCTGAGCCACTGCCCATTTAGTAGTCATTGGATCCAGTGAATGGAGAATAATGCAGTTGGGGAATCTCTGACCCATTGAGGAGGAGGGTCGAAGGTCAAGGCTTGTGCTCCATCCTTTCCAAAAAAAGATCCATCTCACTGGACCACACACCCTCCAGCTTCCTCATAAATTTCCTGGTAATATGGGTCTGGCCCTTTGGCACTTGTACACATGATGGGAATTTAGTCCTCAGGGTTTTATTCTGTGCCTCCTAAATTGAAATGGTGGATTTTTTAATTGAAACCCACCATTTCAGTTTAAGGGCTTCTGTTACTGTTACGGCGAAGGGCCAATCCTTTTTTTTTTTTCCGGTGGAGCCTGCCCACAGCCAAGGGCGAACTGCCAGCAGACTGAGTGGCCCTTCAGCTGCAGGAAGCACTTGTCCTTCCCTCCATGGTGGTGGCACCCCACAAGGCTGTCTGGGTGGGCTGCTAGAAGGCTGAATGTTGCCCCTGCTCAGAGGTAGCACCCAGCCCAACTGAACTCTTCCCTGAGCCCGCCGGGGCTTCCAGTGCTCTGTACACTGTCCACTGCCTCAAACCACCCTGGAATGGGCTAGCTTGCCCCTGGAGCAGCATGGGGAGGTAGCAGGCAGGCAGCTGGATATGTTGGCTGCCAGAGAAGGTGGTGAGAATGGTGCATGGAGTGCTGGATGGTGCACAGGTGGACTCAGGGAATCTCAGGCTTGGCAAGCTTCCAGCACCCCATACACCATCCCCGTCACCTTTTCCAGCCACCTGTGCAGCCAGCTGCCCTCCTGCTGCCTCCCTGCACTACCCCAGGGGCAAGCCAGCCTGTTCCCAGGCAGTCCCAGGTGGGGATAAGGCAGCAGGAACAGTGCATGGGGCACTGGAAGCCCCAGAGAACTTGGGGAAGAGTTGGATCTGGCCAAGTGCTGCCTCCAAGTTGGGGCAGCACCCAACCCATTAGCAGCCTGCCAGGCCACTCCCAGGGGGTCCTGCTGAGGAGGGAAGGACCGGGGGCCCTCACAGTTCAAGGGCCACTTTGCCCACTGGCAGCTCACCCCTACCTGTGGCAGGGGCAGGCAAGCTCCAAGGAAAAAAAAATGGTTTGGGCTGCTGGCTGCTTCTGCCTTCAGCAGGTACCTGCAGCCACCATGCACCTCCTAAAGGAGGAAATGGCAAGGTGTTCAATCCTCCTTTTTGGTGGAGCTTGCCTGCCTCTCCCACGGCTGTGGGGAGAGCTGTCAGATTAAAGACTGCAACGTCTTTAAGTAGCAATGTTGCAAACTAAATTACGTGGGCATGTGGTTTAGTTTGCAATGTTGCAAACTCATTTGAAACCCCCAAACCATGTGCATATGTATTGTGTGACGTTATTAAGCCACACAAAGGAATTTTTTGTCGTGCACGTGGTGACAAGTGTCATGTGTACAAGCTCACCAACTGATTTGATACAGTTGGAGCACAGCCTGTCTTTTTCATTCAGTACTGTGCTGGCTCAAATTCCACTATCAGAATTTTCCTTCCTGGCATCTTTAAAAAAAAAGTAAACATTTTTTTTTACATGTTAATCTGGAAGGAAGCACCTTATATATTTGTGTCATTCAGAAGCACTACCTCTTTGTACCACTACATCCTGGTTCTGTTTCTGGTATCATAAAAACTTTTATGTGCAAGCTTTTACATACAAATTGACTTCCACCTGGCTGTTTATTTAAATTTTTCTTTCTTTAACAGGTCTTAAAGGAATGCCAGGTATACCTGGTAAACCAGGATTCCCAGGTTTTCCTGGACAGCCTAGTCATGTTTCTGGTGCAAAGGGAGACATTGGTAGTAAAGGAGTATCAGGTAGTCCAGGGTATCCAGGACAAGCTGGCTCTCCTGGTATCAGAGGCTTCCCTGGAAGCACAGGAATCAGAGTAAGTTAATGACCTAAGATGGGATGTTTTGTTTTTGTTTCAATAAATGTGCCCTTTCGTTTCCACCTAGGAGAAATGTTACAATCTTTGTATTCTCCTATGCCTTAAGAGGGGTTTGCATGCCTGAAAGCTTGCAAATAAAGATATTTTTTTTTGCAACTATCTAGTTGGTGTAATAAAAAATATCAGTTTTGCCACAAGTTCCGATTCCTTTTATAAGGCCTAGACCAGTCTTGTACAAACTGTAAACTGTGCATTGGGGTATGGAATCAAATCAATTGAAATGGAATAAGTAAACTAAGGTAGAAGCATGTCCTCTCTAGCAAAAAAACACTGTTTCTTCTGGTACCATTCACTGAAGGATGTAGCTTCATTCTTCCTCTACTCCATATTACCCAAATTTCAGTCATCAGCTTTTTCAGTGATGAAGGATCAGGTTCCCCCTCTAGAGCTTCTCAGCTCTGCTACTGAATCTGCTAGTTTCTCTTAAGTTACTATTACAAAACATGAGGTTCACTTTTCCCCTTCCCCTGGATCTGGTTATGCTACCAGCAAAATATGTACTTTGCTTGCCAACCTTATGAATAAGGCCAAATCAGAGAATTAAATCTATTCCCAAAAGGCAGTCCCAATGAATCAACAGGCCTTAAAATAAGTTGGATTTATGAACACTTTCAGTGAGTGCTTTGTCAACAAAATAAGTCATCTTGGAAAGAGTTCAGCTTGCCTCAAAAGATGTAACAGAAGAATCAGCCGATCTCTTTGTGTTATAGGGCTAAATTATACATTCCCTGCTCAGGTAACTCCTCTTTAGACTTCAGTGAAAGATTTGACACAGGAAACACTTCAGGAAATGGACTTGGCCTAAAGAAACCACTGTGCCACACAATTAGTATTCCTAATTTTAAAGATAGAAGGGGTTGAAAACACAATTTACCAACTTGTTGATTTATTTTGGCTACTATCAGCCAAAGGATTAAATAAGGAAGTGCTAAAGAACTTGAAGGTGTGAAGTATATTAGTATTTTACCAAGGTATTTCTATGTGAAAACTGTTTTTAATAATTGAATAAACATTTGTTGTAATTAACTAACATCTGTTTTCAACCACTGGGTAGGGTGAAAAGGGTACTCCAGGATTTACAGGCCTTTTTGGTGAATCTGGCTTACCCGGTGAATCTGGTGAGTCCACTTTCATATCTAAGATTTTTTATAATGGTTACAAAAACAATCTTATATGATGTAAAGCCCTTCAAATAGGGTCTGATTCAGCCCACACTGGAGTCAGTGTAAATTTAGTTTCCTCTTTCAGAGATAACATTACATTTTGTAAGTACATATGCTCTGCCCCTTTTAATAATCTTATTTTTGTTGTTATGGGATAGCTAAAATGAAGGAATGGGTTTTATACTTTCTTCTGAAAACTGCATCTTCTTCAGCATACCATTAAATGGTAAGTAAATACAAAATCAATACCTCTTTTCATCATTCTTTCATTTCTGCTTAAAACAGGTGACCCAGGAGATACTATAAACTTACCAGGAAGCCCAGGTCTTAGAGGAGAGGTTGGTACACCTGGATCCTCAGGTATAAATTTCATTTACAATAAAGACTATTCATTGTGTATTGTTTTCCCACATTACAGTTCAGGGTAGGATGAGGATATTATTCATATGAATTTTCTGTCACACTGAACAGTTCAACAGTTATAGCGTAGTGGCAGACCCTCACCATATCTGTTCCTACACCCATGTGATTTCCTCAGGATCAGCAAAGGGGCAGAGTGAAGCTAGTATACCTGAAAGTAAGAAGCTAAACAGCTCAACATTCCCAATTTTAATAAATGAGGTTTGGCCTTTACTGCTCTGACATCCAAAGCTCCCACTGAACTCAGTAAAAATTTTGCATCAATTAGGAAGATAGACAAATATGATGATTGCATACCTGCAATGGCTGTAGAACCTGTCCCTTCAGGCACAAGTCTTGAACACTACATGTTACATTGGCTACATTAAGGCAAACATGCAGCATTACCTCTTCCTTGACAATGTGGATATAGTGCTCTGAAGCATGCAACATCATACAGAAGCCAAAAGCACCAACTTTAGTAAAACACTACTAGACCGGTGCAATGACATGTCACTGATGCCAGTAGGATCATGGTCTGGCCAACACTGA